GAGCAGTTCATACAAAATCTATGTATTCCATAATCCTATCCATAGGAATAGTGCGAGAAAATATCTTTAACGTTTGTAAAACGCATTGGATAAAATGATATGTTTTCAAAATAGTGCATGAAACCCATATTCTCACTTTGGTCTCTGATTGCCATATGCCTTCCATAATAGGTAGGTGCCAGGAAGGTGGTTCCATTTGACCAGGTGTGCTCTCCAGGAGGGGATGGTCATGCTGCAGAGCCAATGGATGTCCTTTATTGCTGGAGGCTTTCATCACTATTGACTTCTTCTTATTCTTTATTAATTTATGGGTATTCTATTCAAATTCCCAGTGGAGGGGAGATGGAATTAAGATACCGATAATGGCTAGACAGTAGTATTCAGACTGTATTTACACATGTACCTAAATATATTCATATATTTAAATATACATATTTAAATACCAATATGCAGTAATCCTAAGTATATATAATTAGACAACTTCAGAATTAAAATGCATTTAGTTTAAAACTTAAGGATTTCAAAGTTCTAAACCAAATACAAACACAATAAATTCTTAAGCAGTAATGCCAGGTTCTAAGTGCTTATCTTTGTCATTGCTGTTATTCAATTAGGTGGATATTAGAAAACATTCACGATGTTTCACTTTTATCTCTTATCATCCCCACTGTAACCAGAATCCGAAGCTACATTTTCCCAACATGAACCTAGTAGAAGCTCAGCAGAAATTCAGGAGAAATACAGAAACTGTTGATGAAGGATAGAAATCTCCGCGTAGAAGGGCAGACACGTCCTGAAGGAGCGCAGCTGTGAAGGTGACTGCAGCTGGCTCTCGGGCTGCCGGATTTGGAACTTTGGGAAGGAGCAGGAGTCACAGAGACAGTACCCAGGAAGGATGCTCAACCACTACCGGCCTGCCCAGGTCAGATGGAAAAAGGTCCCTTGAAGGAAACAAGATGGAGAAGAAAAGGACGGAAAAGAGAAAGGATGCGGATGTGTGCTGTTGAGAGATCTATCCGGAGGGAAAACCCAGTTTTAACAGCTTTCCGGCCTGGGAGGAATTGTTACAAAAGGATTTCACTTGCTTACCAAAAATAACAACTTCTCACTCTTTCCAGATTTAAGAAAGCAAACAGCAGAGACATTTAGAAGTTTTCTTTGTGTGCATTTTACTTATGATGATGGTTACGAAGATAATCTTTAAAAAAACATAATGGGATTTCCTTTAAAGAATATATTCAGAGATGGGATAGGACAGTAGTTGGGAGCACTGGAGCCGATTTCTGGGTTGGGTTTCCATTTCTGGCTATGTAACCTCAGGCAAGTTATTGATCTTCTTGTGTCTCAGTTTTCTAATCTGTTAAATGGAAATATTAACAGTGTGTACTTCCTAGCACAACAGTGAGAGTCAAATTAGTTAGCAGACATAGTGAGTGATATCTAAGTGTTGACTTCTATTATTAAATTATTTACCAAATATTAATCCCTCCTGCTAACATAAAACACAATCCATAGGAAAGATGTTGGAATTAGGTATGGCAACAAGATGAATAAAATACATTTCCTTTCCTCAAAGAATGACACAGGGAAGCAGCGCAGACAGAACCAACAAAAACCTACAATGGAGAAACTGAAAAGGAGGCAGGCAAGGGTCAGGGCTTGAACCCCAGGACGTTCTGTGAATTTGAGGCTCTGCTCACACTAGCTCTCGGCATGTCTGATGTGAGAAACATCCTGGAGACACGGGCTCTTTTTATTTTTTATCTTCTTTTTGAGACAGAATCTTGCTCTGTCACCCAGGCTGGAGTACAGTGGCACGATCTCAGCTCACTGCAACTTCTGCCTCCCGGTTTGAAGCAATTCTTGTGCCTCAGCCTCAGAGTAGCTGGGATTACAAGAGTGCACCACCACACCTGGCTAAATTTTGTATTTTTAATAGAGACGGGGTTTCACCATATTGGCCAGGCCGGTCTCAAACTCCTGGCCTGGAGTGATCTGCCCACCTCAGTCTCCCAAAGTGCTGGGATTACACGCATAAGCCACCACACCTGCTGACACAGGCTCTTTTTAAAGTGCAAAGTGTTCTATAAATATGAGTTAATGCCAATTCACAAAAGCAAGCACTGTAAGGATAGGCCAGTGAGAGAGGCTGTTTAAAAAATGCCAGTCACCAGGTATGAGCTCCTGCTAAGAGGCTGCCACACATTCCAGCAAATTCTTCTAAACTCTAATGAAAGCCTGCTTTTCCCTGCTCAGTCTTCAATGAAGATAAACCTTTGAATAAAAGTCTTTGTAATGGAAAACTCATCTTCATCTTGTCAGTTCCAGAGCCTCGCATTTTCTCTAGGCTTTATCTAGGCAGCGTGGAGGGGCTGGTGCACCACTGCATAAAGGAGAAGGGTTCCCAGATCGGCATCCAGGGTTTAAATTACTACCTGAAGGCCCATGTCTCTGTGTTTAGATGAGCGCAGGCTTCTTCCGGATGCACAGAGCCACAGCCTAGCTAACATCTCCACGTGACTATCATGAGGGTCTCTCACAAGGGTTCCAACATAGAACACTTCTCCATTTTTCTGTTTCTCCATGAGCGGCACAACCCACTGCAAAGCCCCAGATTCGCTGCTTCGCCCTCCCTCACCTTCTACCACCTTGCTCCTTCTCAGGCCTCCTCCATTTTCTTTCCAAAGTTCTTCCAAATCCATCTGCCTCTCTTTTTCAAATTCTACCCTTCCATTCCTAGCAGCCTATATCTATTTCTTGGACTTCTACAACTGTCCCCAAACTTTTCTCCTTATTCTCACTCTTGTCTCTCTCTAATTTAAGTTCAACATTGTTCCAGAATGAAAAGTTCAAATTCCCCTGCTTATCAATGGTTTAATAGGAATCATTATTAGGAAAACAATAGTGATGAAATAGCTACTGCGTATTCAGCACTTAGCCAGGCACTGTGCTAGGCACTTTATCTGTCTCACCTCATTTAATCCTTCCACTGATCCCAGAACATAGACACAATCATCACCCCATTTTACAGATTAAAATCACCAAGATGCAGGGAGGTATAAAACCACATGCCCATGGGAAAAAGCTGGTAAGTAAATAGTGGAGCTGGCCTTCAAACCTCCCCCTCCGACTCCCTCCCTCTAGGATGAAGATGAAAGGCCTCGCGGGGCTCACCCAGCCCTGCAAGCCTTGCCCTGCCTGCTTCCACCTGCTATCACCATGATTCTTCTCATCCTCTTAGCTTAGTCATGCCCTCAGCTGCGCCATCTCCTCCCTCTCCTCTCTTAGGGTCTTTATACATGGGAGTCTCTCCTGGCTCTCCAGGCCCAGGCACATCCCTTCTGTGCATCTTCAAGGCACCTATTCCTGCATGTGACGACATACTTACCTGTATGTGCACTATTGGAGGGGCCATCTCAGCCTTCCTTAGCATGATATCCTAGCTCCTAGCACAGTGCCTGGTATACATGAAGTGCTCAGCAAAACATTAACAACTAGGAAATTGTAGTATGAGTGCAAGCAAAATTCCTAGCTTTTAGTTCAAGGGCCATTGTTTATTACTAGTGTGATTTTGTGCCAATTACCCCCATCTGAACTTCCAGAGGCCTGATTGTAACTTTCAGGTAACAATCCCAGCAATAATAAGAAAGCATGTTGGAGTTCTTAAAAGCACTTGCACAAAGATTCCATTCGGTCCCAGAATGACCCTGAAGGCTGCCCTGGACTAAACACTAAACGGCAAGGCCTTCGGTCAGAGTTAAGTGACAACTGACTAATCGAGGGTGTGACAGAGCTTTAAGAACTGCAAAGTGCTCTATGTGAGCGAAGACTAGTGCTGCTTGCTCAGTCATCAGCCTTCAGCAATGTTTCCAAGGTTTCACATTTGTTTAAGAGAGCTGAGCCTGCACTGCAAAATAAGGAGAGGGTGAAGAGCAGGGCTCGCCAAACACATTTAACTCATCGCCAGCACACAGTGAGAGAGTGGGAAAACCGGGCAGGCCACAGGCATCTCACCCTGGCCCCGACCCTGGCCCCTGCTCTGCCCAAGTGAGCAGGAAGACAAGAACCCGCCCTTCTTTAGTTGATGTTCACTTCTCCGAAATACTCGATTATGAGGTACTGCCCATCACAGGGGCAGCTCCTGGAGAGCCCAAGGCCTTAGGTTATCTGGGAAGCCAGTGGCCTCTTACTAACATCCTCCTGTACCACCGCCCACCTCCTGTCTCTCAGCCTTAGGTAGTCTAAGGTAATCGTGAGCAGAGATGCATCCTTAAGCACTCAGGCTCTACACCTAATCTCTGCAGATGTGACTCTATGGAGCTTTCAATGTTACTTCTGCGGATCAGAAGCTTACATGCTGGTTCTAAAAAACAATCTAATGTCATGTTATTCTCACAAAATTAACAATTTAAAATAATCCCTTCCATAACATCCCTGAAAGCAGAAATGGGAACAAGCCTTCCTCAAATTACAAAACAAGCTTGTGAACACCAGCTTGAGGGCTGTGAGTATCTGCCTGCTTCTTCAGGTAAAACCATGCCAGCGGTAAAGCTGCTTTTTAAAATAAAAGTAGCCCTAACGATGTGGTTATTCAGGTGAGTTGAATTTTCTAAGACATTATGAAGCTGATTTAAAAGCAGAAGTAGATGAACTTTATGTTGAATTTTTCAATGTAAACTCGTATCAAAAACGAAACAAAATAGAACTCTTAAGTAAATTGTCACCATGAGAAAGAGATTTTATTTTATCATAGCTATTCATTTTCAATGTATAAATAAAGTCACAGAAAGTCCTAGATTATGTCTAATATTCAAATAATTTTCAAGCTATGCTAGCTTAGAGCTAAAAAGGGGGACTACCTTCTATGTTTCATAAATCAAACAAAACAGGAAGTTCTCTGGCGTCGAGTTTTGCAGAAACAAAGTATAAGGCTGATCAAATTCGCTTATAATTGAAAAAGAAAAACAAAAGTGCTTTCTGGAGTAATAAATAGTAACTACCTTCTGGACACTGGCAGGTGAATCCACTGAGACTGGAAAGGCACGTTGCTCCATTTCTGCACGGGTCTAGGAGGCAGTAATCAATCTTGGACTGGCAAAGCTCTCCGGTATAACCTGAGTAAAACAAAACGTACATTTTATAAAATAAGCTATTCCAGACCTACCATGAGCCACTCTAGGAATTGACGGATTCAACTGGTACCTGCCCAGTGAAGGCAGCGGCAGCCTTCAGCTAAGCTGCTCCTAGATCTCTTTTTACAAACGATGGTAGTTTAGAAATAATCATAGCAGTTTAGAATCATCGTTCAAAAATCATTTACTCTGCAAAAATCCCTATTGAAAGGAGACCACATGTCTTCAGTATTAGGTCTGTGTTTCATCTTGAAATACCAGTCAGAACCTTCAGAAGCGGAGACTGAATGTCGCGTTGATAGCTTCCTTCTGACACAGGAATTTACGGTGTTCAGCTTGATCTGACTGAGATAATGCCACATTCCCTAGGCCATCACAATGCCTACATAAAAAGCATCAGGAAAATGTCTAGGTATTAGCAGTTTTAATGTATAATATTTTGGAGCTAGAATAACCCACCTGTGTTAATTCTGTACCCTCTCCCCCCACTTTCAAGATAAAGAGATTGAGGCACACAGAACACTAAGCACATTAATATATTTTATTAATACTTATTTAATTCACAAATCCAACTAAATTCTCTGTGAAACAAGGCTCTCATGGTGATTTTGTTGGATTGTAAAATAACTACATGCATGTGGTGAGGAAATAAGGACGTAAATCTACTGGAACACCCGTGCAGTCAAAAAGCTTTAAATACATTCCAGAATTTTGTTTATTAATTTTAAAAACAAATCCCCTGGAGAGAAAAGTTTAAAAACTAAAATGCTAATAAATTTCTCATCATAAAGCGGAACACGGTAAAGAAAGCTTGGAAAATTTAAGACATTAAACAGAAAAAGAAAAAAAATGTGCCCTTGGTTATGTTATTTGAGTGACAGGACCATCAGTACTGTAGAGATAACTCCTATGAAAAATTTTTAGTCATAGATATTTTCCACACAATCGTGATCATACTGTAACACTTTATTTATTTCTAGGATAGTTTCAACTACATAAAAACTTGTCTTTCTGAATTATTAGTTTTGAAAGACTGCCATTAGCACTTGAATCTGAGATTTACAAAAAAAAAAGATCCAGTGATATTAGAAAAGAGATGATTCACCTGACCTTCAATTACCTGCCGAATAGATTGTAAATTACAGACTGGGAATGGGGAGGCATTCATTTGCAATCCTACTCACAGGCACTCAAGCAGTGTAGGAGATTCTAGCTAATTCATGGTATGAGAAGACGAGTAAGACAAGCGCATGAACTAAAAATCCAAACACCAGGAAAAAAGGCTATTTCAAAATTCCAGAACAGATTAAATAAAAGCTGTAAATTCAAAATAAGGGAGAGTGAATTGTTTCTAAGAGGAATGCTGCCAATAACTTTTTGGCTAAAAATAATAGCCAAAACTTACAAAAGATCACTTATTTTTATTCATACATTAATTAATATTAATAATGTATCCACAAATTAATACATAACTCATCCATACTTGTGCAACCTTATGAGGTTAGTGTTATTAGAATCACCTTGGTTTTTTTTACTTCAGCTTTTATTTTAAGTTCCAGGGTACCTGTGCAGGATGCGCAGGTTTGTTACATAGGTAAACGTGTGCCATGGTGGTTTGCTGCACAGATCAACCCATTGCCTAGGAATTAAGCCCAGCATTCCTTAGCTGTTCTTCCTGATGCTTTCCTTCCTCAAACCGCCACTCCCAACAGGCCCCAGTATGTGTTGTTCTCCTCCATGTGTCCATGTGTTCTCATCATTCAGCTCCCACTTAAAAGTGAGAACATGTGGTGTTTGGTTTTCTGTTCCTGTGTCAGTTGAGGATAATGGTTTCCAGCTCCGTCCATGTCCCTACAAAGGACATGATTGCATTTCTTTTTATGGCTGCACAGTATTCAGTGGAGAATCACCCCATTTAACAAATGAGGAAATCGAGGATTACGAAGGTTAAGTAATTTGCACACAGTCATAGAGGGAGTCAGGGTCCTGTGTCCAAGCCCTTTCACACAGTATACCTAAGGTTACGCTTAAGGCACTATGCATCACCATCGTCAACAAACAGGTATTTAGTATTAAGGTAAAATAACAGAAAATAATGGCTAAGAAAACGCACAGAAAGAGACACAGAGCTTGATACAAAAATGATCAATATTCAGCTCAGGTGTGGTAGCTCATGCCTGTAATTCCAGCACTTTGGGAATTTGAAACAGGCAGATTACTTGAGGCCAGGAGTTCAAGACCAGCCTGGCCAGCATGGCAAAACCCTGTCTCTACCAAAAATACAAAAACTAGCCAGGTATGGTGGTACATGCATGAAATCCCAGCTATGGGGGACGCTGAGGCACGAGAGTCATTTGAACCCAGGAGGCAGAGGTAACAGTGAGCCGAGACTGTGCCACTGCACTCCAGCCTGGGCAACGGAGAGAGACTTCATCTCAAAAAAAAAAAAAAAAAAAAAAGTAAAATAATAAAATCCACAAATATAAATATTCATCTATAACTTATAGCCTATGTGTGGTTGGTTATGCTTAGGCTGGAGATGCCAAGAATTATTTTTTCAAATCCCTGGCTTCAAAGATTCTACAAAATGGCTAGAAAAGTAGAGTACATTTATGAAAAAAGATAACCGATTACAAGTGGTAGCTTCTTAGAGGCAGGATGGCCTAAAGGATGTAGATGGCATCATGAATTCTATCCCTGGAAAGATGTCAGAATTGTGACTACAGGATCACACAAAACCACGACGCACAGCCAGCAGCCGGTTCGGTCTCAGATGTGAGAGATGTACATCCCCACAAAACAGAAAAAATAGAAGAGTGCAGGACTCTGAACTTCAAAGTTCTTTCAATAAAATTTTAACAATCACTTCCTTTTTACTTTTTATCTAAGGATTTAAAACATACTTAAACATAGAGAGACAAGGTTATAAACCTCACATATCCATCACCCAGCTCCAACCATTATTAGCATTTTGTCTGTTTAATTTCATCTAATCTCCTCATATTTTCCTAGGTTCCCCATGAGGGTATTTAAAATCAAATTTCATTTCACCTGTAAATATTTCAGTATGCATTTCTAGCAAAAGGAGCGTTTTTTAAAGATCACTTTTAAGGGTGTCTTTAATTAATATTTCATTCCATTTACAAATTTAATTAAACACTTTAAAACATATTTATGTATATATAATAATATCAACAATTTCCTTAAGAACCACAACTGTCTGATAATGTACAAATCTTTCCATGCACTTAATTCTTATAGATCTCTTAAATTATAAGTGAGGTGAATCTTAAATGCCGTTAAGTGCCCCAATACTGTATGCAAGTTTGGTGAGATTTCAATCAAAGAGGCTAATTTACATTTTTAATTGTCATAAGAGCTTCGGGACCTCACTGGCATTTTTCAGGTAAAGATACTGAGATCTTGCAGGACTTGAGAGGGTCTAATATATTAACAGAGTTGTCACATTCAAAATGCCAATAGTTCCCTCCAATGAGAAACAGTGGTCCATATTCAACATTTTGTCATTGCTTTTTTTCCCTGAGCTTCAAAGTCTTTATATTAAAGATTTTGAAAACACAGGAAACATGGAACTATGGAGAAAAAGATTATGTGCAATGCTCTAGACCCATAAAGTATGAGCATATTGACATGTCTATGGGTTCAGTATTACTGAAGACGAAGAACACTAATGGAGGAGCATGGGTTGGGGAGTGGGAGGAAGCAGGGAGGCAGGGCTGAGATCACGGGATTACAGGACCACTGAGCATCCTCACCTGCAGGTGGCCAGTGCTACTGGCAATAACCAGCTATGGATCTGTAAAGCTGATGAAGGTAGCATGATGCTCTACCCACCCCAGTCTGTCTGGAAAGGGAGGGGCCCTTTGGCAGGACAGTTACTCAGTGCAGTGTTTCCCCAAGTAGATGTACGGACCATGATGGCAGGAGCTCAAGACCTAACAATCGTCCACACGAGACTCACCAAGAGGACCAGGCATTATTCTTGGCCTCCAGGGAGTTACTAGTTGGTAGTCCCAAGACTACCATCATCAACTGTATTACTCCCATTACAGTTGCATTACTAGGCAAGTGAAGACAGTTCTGGGAGACAAGAGGCAGAGGACAAGGAGCCAGAAGCATAACTCTCAAATACCAGCAAGTCACTCCTCAGATCCTCAGAGAGCAGAGGCTTCACTGAAGGTGTTGGACAAATCACTGGTATTAATATACATGTAATACTCTGAACTGGATACCTAAGAGCTACACAAATCACCCTTCCTGTGTCCTTTGGTTTTTTATTTGATCTCATAATCAAGGAGTCAAAACTAAATGAGTGATTGGTAGAAATCTAAATGAAAAATACCATTAAAGTTTTGCCTGGGTTTTCTTTCTTCCATCCTGCTAAAAGTCAATGTGTTCTCTGGGGACTAAAGTAACCATGCCAACTGTGAATAATATTTCCTTATGCCACTAAAGCAATGACAGCCACCCAGAGGACCTTGTAGAAGATATGCAAGCAAGATCGATTGTATTGATGCCGCAGACATGAAAGGTAATACACAGTGGCCATTCGGTGTGTGTAACGGAAGAATTTGCTCTAGCATGCACACACAACAGGCATTTCAGCCCTGGAAACCTATGCCAGAGCTCCCAAGTGGAAGGTGGGCAAGACATGGAGAAAAACCCATGTAAAGGCACAAAAGAGTGCAGAAAAGGTGTGAATGTCATTGACACTTGACTAAAAATGCACGACAATGATAAACTCCCTCGTTTTGATTTCCAAATGACAAAAGTCTATACCTAACTATGGAGGCAAGTATCAGCAATTGTTTTTCTTTCCTCTAGCCAGTGGTACTCCCTCTAAGCCCCCGTGGCCAGACCACAAGCATTCATGAACCACCTGCCAAGTTATTGTCACAACCACATAATACCTTTCACATTGTCTAGTCCCGTTTAAACCTCACCACTTCTCACCAGGACTC